GACTGAGGTGTGCCAGGAAGGAATGGTTTTCTGAAAACTGGATTCACATAAGGAGCATCAGTGGTAGGGAGCAAACACAATATAAGACCACTATAGGATCATTCATACAAATATCTCCTATTGGTGGTGGAGATTAAGAGGCTGAATTCTTCGTCTGCATGCTCCAAAGCAGAATAGGATCCCACGAGTGGGATATCATGATGATCACTAAATAGAGCTAAGAGCAGAATAATATCACCCCTTGGAATTCACAGAGATCTTATGGGAGGCACCAGACTTTCTACAATTTGTACCAAGCATACCTATCAATTTTGTCTAGGTGTCAAAGGTAAAACAAGTCCTAGAAGGTACGTGGATTACATAAATGGGGAAACTGAATCCCAGAGAAATTCTGAGGCTTCCCCAAAGTCACAAGCTGATTTTTTACTCAAGCCAGGCTTGCACATATTCTTCCCACACTTCAGCAATGTTTTCTCTATATCTTCCAAGCAGTGTTCCTTTTTTCCTGCTTATCCCAGGAAATCTAGAGATACCTCAAGGTCCTGTTCTCCAGCATTTGCTCTTGTTAGCCTATGTTAGTTAGCTTTCTGTCTCTTTGACAAATTACCTGGCAAAGTCAACTTTCAGGAGGAAATGTTTACTTTTAGGCATCACAGTTTCAGAGGTTTCAGTCTATGGTACACTGGTTCCATTTCTGTGGGCCTAAAGCAAAGAGCATCATAGTGGAGGGGTTTGGTGGGGCAAAGTGCTCATCTCATGGGGAGCTGGAAGCAGAAAGCAAGGCACAGAACTGGAGAGCTTGTGCTAATAGGCTTTGTCGTTCTGCTTTTGTTTCACTCGGGTCCCCATTCCACTGGGCAGTGCCACCTACGTTCAGGGTGGGTCTCCCCATCAATTTGCTGTCCCACATGCCAGTCCTTTCTGGAAACACACCTGGAGACACACTCAGAACTGTGCTTTACTAATAGCCTAGCAGTTCTTGATCCCATTAGGCCGATAATCCACATAAACTATCACAGAGCCTTGCCCAGTCCTTGGGCTGCCAGGGGGCTCTGCTTGGAGCAGGAAAGAGGAGTTTACATGGGGATAAAAGAGTCAGGCCTACCTCTTTTAGAGCCAAGAGGCTCAGATCTCGGGAAAGATATAGAGCCCAACTGGAGAAGCAAACCCAAGGGGTGATGTCAGTGGAATAAGAAGGAATCATTGAGAGGGGACAAATTTTGAAAGAGAGATCATATATTACCTCCTATTTACCAGGCTTTTTGTGTATATAATTTTATTTAATCTTTACATAAATTTTGTTTCAGGGGGCACAAGTAACTCAGTGAGGGGAAGGAAAGAGAGCTGGAGATGAGAAAAGAGGTTGGCAGAGGCCTTGCTACGAAGTCTTGAATTTGGCTGAATGAATTAATACCTGTATTTATTAGCCCAGGATACTGTAAAAGAAAAAAAAAAAAAAGCATCACAAAGTGGGTGGCTTAAATGACATAAATGCATTGTCTTACAATTCTGGAAGCCAGATTCAAGGCGTCCAGAGGGTTGGCTTCTTCTGAGACTGAGGGAAGGATCTGCTCCGTGCTTCTCTCTAGCTTCTGATGGTTTGTTGGTAATTTTGGGGTTCCTTGACACAAAAGGCATAAACCTCCCTGCTGTCCTCATCTTCACACGGTGTTCTCTCTGTGTTAGCAACTGCGTCTAGATTTCCCTTTTGCATAAAGACACAGTCCTATTGCATGAGGGGACCAACCTATTCCAGTGTGACCTCATCTTAACATAACTATCAACACTTGCCACCACTCTATTTCCAAATAAAGTCAGGTAATGAGATACTGTGATTTAATGCTTTAGCATAGCAATTGGAGAGGTACACAATTCAACCCAAAACAATAGATGAATGGGTCTTGAAACAACCTGGGTTAAACAAAATTAAACAGATTTCTGTCTACCTTAGAGCCTCTGAATTGGTTTTACAATGTGCCTGCAAATTTTCCACACCTCTCCCATTGAGAGATAGCACCTCTGTTCCCTCCCTTGAATCTAAGACCATCAGGGTATGGTGCAAAAGATGATATGTGATATCTAAGGCTGGATCATAAAAGGCCAGGCCAGTTTGCTTCATTTGTTACAATATGGAGGCATCATGTTAGAAGTTCAAGAAAACAAGATCATATCCTAACAGATATCCCAACAGACCTCTCTGGCCTAAGGTCCTAGCTGAGCCTAGCCCTCTAGTTATCCTGCCCATGTGCAGAAAGGTGAGTGAAAAATCGATCTGGTCTTGCACTTTCCAGCTCTAGCCTTTTGAGTCCCAGCCATTTGAGCCTTCCCAGATGAAATTGCAGAAATCATGGAGCATGAGTGTATGATCCTTGCTGTGTCCTGAGTCTTGAGCCACAAAACTCAGGAATATGATAAAAAGATGTTGTTTTAGTCACTAAATTTAAGTTAAGGCTGTGTATCAATCAGGGTTATTCAAACAACAGAACAATAGAGATTTGTATATCTATCCATCATCTATCATCTATAAATACATAATTCTAATACAGGCTAAATGTTTCCATAGGATATATGCTACATCAATTTCCCCACCTCTGTTGGGCTGTTTCTTTGGACATATCTGCAGATCCTGCATCTATGTATTCAACCAACCGTGGATAGAAATTTTTTTAATTGTGTCTTTTAAAGATGTTTTTCTTATCAGTATTCCCTAAACAAATATTTACATAGCATTACATTGTATTAGGTATTATAAGTCATCTAGAAATGAATTCAAGTACATGGGAGGATACAAAGTATATAAAAATACTATGCCATTTTCTGTAAGGAACTGGAGCATAGTGGATTCCCCATGGATACTGAGGGCTGACTGTCTACATGGAAAGAGTTATTGTAAGGAATTGGCTCATGTGATTATGGAGGATGGCAAGTCCAAACTCTTGCAGGGAGGGCTGGGAGGCTGGAGATTGGAGACCCAGAGAAGAGCTAACATTGCAATTCAAGTCTGAAGGTAAGACTACAGGCAGAATTTCCTCTTCTTTTTCAGTCTTTTATTTTCCTCTTTGAGCCTTAACTGATAGGCAAGGTTTACCCTTAATTGAGAGTGATTTGCTTTATTTGAAGTCTACAGATTACATTGTTAATCTCATCTAAAAACATAGAGCAATGTCTAGACTAGTGTTCAACCAAATATCTGAGTATCATGGCCTACCAAAGTTGACACATGAAGCTAACCGTCGCTACCTGGAACAGTCCCCCACAGCATGATGTTGTGTGCCTTGACCTTCCAAATGGGCCATAATATGACATTTTCCAATTCTCTTTGGTCAGATCTCCCCTTTCCCACTTTAAAAACAGATTGGGAGGGGGCATGGTGTTCTGTAGAACACCTCTAAAGAAGCTCGAGTCCCTGATTTGGAATCAGACAGGACCATGTTCAACTCCTGACTGTTCTAGCTGCTAATGATGTCAACTTGAACAGTGTTTTTAAACTTTCTGAGCCTTGATCACCACATCTATAAAGTGAGATAACCATGCTGGTCTCCGTGCTGCTGTAAGGTACAAATTAAATAAGCAATGGAAAGTGTTATGGTCTGAATGATGCCCCCCACCCCAGGGCTCATGTGTTGGGAGCTTGATCCCCAATATAGCACTATTCAGAGATGAGGCTTTTGGGAAGTGATAGGATCAGGAAAGATCAAAGGATAATGAACTAATGAGTTCATAGGTCAATGGGTTTGTTAGGAGGTGAGAACTGAGTAAAGCAAGTCAACTGGGACATGGCTTGGATTTGTTTTGTTCCAGTCCTTTCTTCTCTGGCTTTCTAGTTCTTCTTTGCTTCTGGCTGCCATGAGGTGAATAGTTTTCCTCCACCATGTCTTTCCACCAGGATGTTTCTTCCTCACCACAGGCCTGTCCAATGGAGCGGGTCAGTCATGGACAGAAACCTCCGAAATTTCAAGCCCCAAGTAAATCTTCCTCCTTTAAGTTAATATTCTCAGGCATTTTGTCACAACAATAAAAAGCTGTCTAATACATAAAGGGCTCAGTCCTGAGCCTGGGCACACAATTTTTATTTTTACTTTTATTTTACTTTTTGCTTTAGTTTATTTATTTACATGCCAGCCCCAGATTTTGCCAGTCTGTAGTGCCGCTTCTCCTTTAAAGATTTTCACTGTGATGTTTAAGCTTTCATCTCTCTCAATTTCTAGAAGCTTCTCTCCCTCTCCCTTCCCTTTCTTCCTTCCTTTGCTTATTCTTCCCCTCTCCTTTTTCACTCTCCTTTATAAAACCAGGTGTCCCTCACTGGGGAATGTGGGAATGTGGTATGTTTCACAAATTTATCTTACTTGTCACTTTAGCCAGCCGCTGTTCTCTGGATCACTGCCTCCCATTTCCCAGGTGGTGCTGCTTTCTCTGCTTCTGTTCCCCGCCTTCTGCCTCCAGCTGCTGCTGCACTGCCCTAGCACCTCCCCTCAGCTCCAGAAAGATCCTCTCCTTCTTGCCACTGGAGCAACAAAGAACAGGCTGACTTTCATGCTGATGTGGCTCAAAGTTCTGGGAGGGGAGAAGGGCAGCAGGTGTAAGGTGTTGCTGCTGACTGCTCCTGGGGGTAACATGCTGAGGACCCATGGAACGACTCTGTGATCATGGACAGTGACTGTGATGGTCAGGACAGAGGAACTCGCACCCGTCTTCCACCACAGAGTCTAAGGCCACCTCTTTACATCCTCAGTGGTGGGTCTCATACTAGGGAGACTGGCAGTAGTGATTTCCACTCTATTCGTGGAACTCCAGCTTCACCATCAGGGAAATTATGTTGCCCCACAGACTTCTGTATTTGTCAGAGCTTGTCAGAGAAATATAACCAATAGGATATACATCGCATGTATTGTATAATACAGCACATTTATACATGATAAAATGTAGAATATATCTAACATCAGGAATTGCAGAATGGTTATAGAGCTGAGAAATTCACTTCCAGAAGAGCTTATGGGATAGTTTCAGTCAGACCCTGAGTAATTTATTTAGTAGATGTTTATTGGCTCATAGTTCTATAGGCTAGGAAGTCCAATATCATGGTGTTGGCATCCATCAAGGGCCTTCTTGGTGCATCTTTACCTGGCAGAAGGTAGAAAGATAAGAGAGGAGATGAGGGAACCAAACTGGCCCTTTTATAATGGTACCAATTTCAGGCATGAGCATGGAGCCCTCGTGGCTTAATTACCTCTTAAAACCAGGAGATTTGATAGAATATGTTTCATTTTGGACCTGATTTTGAAGGCAGGAGAAGAGCAATGTCCCAGATTGAAGACAGTAGGGTGAGATGTCATAGATTCAAATGTTAACCTCATTCAGAAGCACCCTCATAGACGTACTCAGAAATAATGTCTAACCAAATACAACTATTTGGGCATCCCATGGCTCAGTCAAGTTGGTGTAGAAAATTACCCATCTCACCCTCATTATTATGGGACCCCAGGTGCCCAGCACCAGTGCATGGTTGACCCCTTTCCTTTTTCTTCCAGAGTCAGCTCCACCTTCACCTCCTCCAAGAAGCATTTACTGATTTTAGCCTCCACCTGGTTTATAAAAATCACCCCAAAATGCCCACTTGCTTATCATCTCTACCACTCAACCCACTTATTTTCTTCATGGAACTTAGTACCATTTGGAATTCTCTTGCTCATTTTACTTGTTTATATCATCTGTATTCCCATGTAAAATATGAGTTCCATTAGTACAAAGAACTAGTCTTTCTTGTTCCCCACTGCATTTTCTAAACCTGGAGCAAAGTAGCATTTGAACAAATATTTTTCAAATCAATGAATATGGATTCTTGTTGTTCAATTTTGAAGCCTTATGTGAATGTCCAATTTGACTTCTCTTCCCACTCCCAGACTTCAGCAAAGTGTACAGAAATCTCTTGGGTGAGTGGATTCTGTTTAAGGGTGATAATTATGGAAAGGGGCTGAGTTTAATATCTGAACTAATGCTGTGATGAACACAGGAAATCTACATGGAAATAGAAGCTTGAAACCAGGAGTGATCATGGCGGCATAAACTCCCAGAGATGTCCAGGAATTGGGCAGAGCTCTGCAGTCTCCTAGTGCATGGAATGAGCCTTATAACTCCCCTTTCAGGCTTTCCGGAGACCTGAACACTGCCACACATCTTCTTCAGAGGATGCTATGTTAGTTCGTCTGGGCTGCTGTAACCAAGTGCCACAACTCAATAGTTTAAAGAAGAGAAACTTATTTTCTCCCAGTTCTGGAGGCTCAAAGTCCAAGATCAAGGTGTTGGTAGAGTTGGTAAGAATCCATGTCAGGACTTTCTCCTTGGTTTCATAATGGCCATCTTACTGTTCACATGGCGTTCTCCTGTACGCACATGTGTGTCCCAGTTCCCCCTTCTTATCTGGGCCCCAGATTATTGGAGTAGGGCCCAACTTAATGATTGCCTTTTAACTTGACACCTCTGTGAAGATCCTATCTCTAAGTTAGGTCACTTCTGATGTATTGAGGGTTAGGATGTCAACATACACATTTTTGGAAGGAACACATACTTAACACATGACAGATACCAAAATGACCACTTTCAAGCTGCCCCAGGAAGGCTGTAGGATGCTCTGAAACCCATATCCCAAAGGAATACCCTGATGAACATCCATTATTTTTATCTACCTAGCAGGTACCTCCACTCTTCTGCACATAGCACCCTTATATTTCTTTGGGGATTCGCCCCATGATACCCTCTTTGTACATCGTTTAGGTAGACTTGACCTCATACTCTAGATGTAAGTTTGGGTACGTGACCTAGGTAGAACCTATTGATGCATTTCACCCTTCAGTCATAATTGTTTCAAGCTGACCAAAGTTGACCCTATGAAATTCAATTTTAGATGTGACAGGTTGGAAACTTGAGAGTTCCAGAGACCACCTTCCCAGACGAAGCCAAGACAGAGAAAAACATGTAGCAGATGTAGAGAAAGGCTGAACCTGGGGACATAGTTAAAGCCCCTTAACTGAGCCATGCCTGAAGTTAGCTTTAAGGGTGGACTTCTCTTTACAACAGATTCCCTTCTAGGCTTAATGCCAGTTTGCTGTGGGGGTTAAGTGATTTGTAGCCAAATGTATTCTAATCGATGTAATTATACTACCTCCTCTCTCCTGTTTACACACTTCCATAGTTTCAGGAAGCCTACCTTGGGAAAACTTCACCAGGAAAACTAAATTTCTTTCAGGTTTTCTGCATTGTCTCAAAAGACTGTGCTTTAAAGCCCCAGTGTAGATTCCTATAATTGGCCAATCATAGCAAAGGACCAGGCCGGTAAATGTGTGCCAACAAATAACTCAAGCAGGCAAAACTCCTGGTGATTTTATAATTATGTGAAAAGGCCTAAGATTTTTGGAAGGCAGGGGTCAGTGAATTAAAATTCTCCCAGGAGCTAAGGGCCTCTGAATGTTTATTTCCGATAATCTTGTTTATGTCCTGGGGTAAATAAATCTGTCTTTTGTTCAGTGTTATTCAACTCTCAGCACTGTTGGTAATTAAAGGGGTGGAGGGTGGAAAAATGAATGAGTTCTTTAATTGGCTCTGTTCTGGGTGACTCAGAGTAAGAAGAAAAGTCCCTCATGGGCAGGGGTGGGAGTGGCCTGTTCTGCCCTGGAAAAAGCTGATAAAACCCTGGGCAGCTGGTGATCAAGTGGCAAAGGGGAGGAAATCCATCGTCATTAGCGTGATCAATGAGCACAGGCTGCGCTCGTGCTGAGTTGCGCTGGGGTCCTCCTGAGACACAGAGAGAACTAGAATAAATATCTGGTTTCAGAAGTCACCCCATTTCAAAGATCCCCTGGTGGAAGGATCATTCATCCACCACTTTCCCTCAATCATAACTCTGAGGGGATGGGAAGTGATAAAATAAAGTAAACAATCCCACCAGCTGGTCATATAACCATTTCTAATGTGATGTGATAGAAAGTGATTCATGAACACAAGTAATAATAACAAATACAACAGCTAACAGGTGTTGAGTGTTTTCTACATGCCAGACTCTGCATGGAGAGCACTACATACATGATTTCTTTTAATGTTTGCAAGAATTCTGTATTAGCGGTACAACTGCCTACATTGTACAGATGCAGAAACGGAGCCCTAGAGAGAGGTTAAGTAACTAGCAGGAGGTCTAGCAGCAGATAAATGGTAAAGGTGGTGCTTATGTTCAAGTCAGCCCGACTATAGAGCTGGATATACTTCCTTTAGGCTAGCATAGAGTTTTGCTCTGCTCTCTGTAGCTTTTTCACTCTTTGACCAAGTGTTCTGTCTCTGAGTCTCAGATTTACCTGTGAAATGAGGATAATGAGACTTCTGTGGAGCAGGGTGCTTGGATGGAAATAACAGAAAGAGATATTGGTTAATTAAAGCAAAAAATAGAATGTAGAAACGAGCTATCAAGCTATGAAACGACATGGAGGAAAATTATCATTATGAAGTGAAAAAGGACAATCTGAACAGGTTACACACTATATGATCCCAACCATGTGACATTCTGGGAAAGGCAAAATGACGAGATCAGTGGTTTCCAGGGGTTGGGGTGGGGGAGAGCTGAATATCAGAGCATAGAGGACTTTTAGGGCAGTGAAACTAATATGGGTGATATGACAATGGTGGCTACATCTCATTACGTATTTGTCCACACAGAATATGCAACACCAAGATGAACTGTAAATCATGGATTTCAGTGATAATGATGTGTCAGTGCAGGTTCATCAGTTGTAACAAATGTATCATTCCTACTGGGGGATCTTGATAATGAGGGAGGTTATGCATGTGTGGGGCCAGGGGATAGATGGGAAATCTCTGAACCTTCTGCTCAATTTTGCTAAAAACAAAAAACTACTCTAAAGAAGAATTTTTAAAAATGGAATGTTCTGGAAGGATAATGGAGAGCTTATGGATCTCCTGTCTGTTCTGCTTTCATAGAAGGAGACTGGTCCATCTGTGGCCAAGAACTACCCAACAGGGGATTTGCCCTGAACCAGAGTAGTATTCAGATTCTGAGCAGCAAAAATACCCCCCAATCCGACTTTCTAAAAGAGCTTTGTGGTGATGGATGTCTTTGGTACCAGGTCTGACACACAGTAAATGTCCAGTAAATAGTTATTATTACTACTATTATGAATAATAATATCTAGGAAAAGACAGCTCAGCCTGTCTCCACGCCTTTTGTATACACAGGATTCTGTGATGCTTTTCCTGTGAGATGATTTAGATTTCCTTTATGAATAGAGACATAAACCAAGCTAACATATCCTCGAGACAGAAGGATGCTGGCATGTCTTCAAATTGGTCACTAAAGCATGTCCTCAATTGGGAAAAAATCAAAACAGATTGCATCTAATTTCTCACTGTTCCAAGCAAGAAATTACCTTTTTAAGTGAAACATCATGGCTTTCAAGCTGTTTACAAATACAGTTTTTATGGCATGTCTTATCTGAGACTTGGCTCAGCTTTCTGGACTAGATTGTCTGTCTCTGAGGGGTTAACTGGGTTTTCACAGAGAAGAGCCACAAAGAATCCACTTCTTTTACTTCTTTGTGATATTAGGAGCTGGTGAGTCCTAATTTTTATGGCATGTCTTATCTGAGACTTGGCTCAGCTTTCTGGACTAGATTGTCTGTCTCTGAGGGGTTAACTGGGTTTTCACAGAGAAGAGCCACAAAGAATCCACTTCTTTTACTTCTTTGTGATATTAGGAGCTGGTGAGTCCTACTTTTTCCACAGGTGGTTGAATAGGTTATTTTAGGAAAAGCAACAGCTTTGTAGCCAGGCAGACCTGGGTTTGAATCTTGGTTCTACTATTTCCTGTTGTGTAGTAGTTGGGGAAACTACTTTATCTCTATGGAGTCTATTTACTCATCTTAAAAATTAGATAATTATTATTTATTTACTAGAGTTTATAAGTGGTCCATAGTAACTATTGCTTTTGTTCAGGGCTGCTGTAGTTCAAATGACACCTTTGTATGAATTAGAAAAAGCCATTCCTTATTCTCACAGATGTATTTGGGACTATGGTCCATGGCTTGCTGAGCAGACCACAAGGAGAATTTTATCCCTCACTT